AGCTTCACAGAATTACTTTTTCCATCCCTGAGATAATGCTTCCCAGGCCGATAATTCAGCAACTGTGGTAGATCGCTACAGATATTACCTTGTATGTGAGATGATCTGATAATGGGCACTAGTAAGTGGACACCGTTCCAGACAATTTGGCCAGGAGGGATACCATGGAGGTATGGACTCCTGGGGGAAGGAATCAAGATACTCATGATGACCACAATATATCAGGAGCCAAACCAAAAGCAGTAGCTATGTTCCAAGAAGAAGTAATATAGTGGAGATACAGTTGCACTGTTTGGAAAAATGGTGAAACATAAATGACAGAGAAAGAATTCAATCCCTAGAAGGACAGGCCACAGCAAACAAAACTATCCATGTTCCTGCCCAGAGCCAGTCACTCCACCTGTGTATTACATCCTGCTCCTACTCACTAGCCAAAAGCAGAATTTCAGCCATTGGCCCCTTTCTCTCCTCCATCAGCAACCTTCCCTTTCTCTTAAGTAATACTCTTCTAATACAAACACGCACTGATTTCTTCTATTTAAAATAACATATAAAATGACAAAACACCCTTCGTGTGACCTCAGCTCTCCAGCTACCACCTCATTTCTCTGTCCTTCCTGGCAGCAAAACTCACTGTAGGGGTTCCACCTATACTTACAAGTCCCCCGCTCTCCGTTTCCTTCTTTAGCCCAGGCCCGAACAGGTTTCGCTCCTACTGGTCCGCAGAAACCACTCTGGTGACGATCACCAACGACCTCTGCATGGTCCAATCTGTCACTCCGTCAGTGCTCAGTTCGAATGCTGACCCGATGCTGATCCTCCCTCCACCCCGTGACTTGGTTTCCGGGACACCCCACTCTGAATCTGCCTCCTACGTCACCGATTGCTGCTTCTCAGTTGCTTTTGCTGGTTTCTTCTCTTCCAGCAAACTTCTTCAAGTCCACAGTCCTCTTCTCTGTCATGTTTTTGTTCACTCCCGTGAGGTGTCATCTCATCCACGGTTTTAAATACCATTTGCATGGACTCTTTATATGTCGATGGCCAGACCCCTCTCCTTTGGATGCCTGCTCCCTATCTCCATGGGGATGCCTCAGAGATCCCCCAAATTTAAGTCCTCACCTGCCTGCCCTGTGGTGTCCTCCATCTCCATCTCAATAGTTGGTGACTCCATCTTTTCATCACTCAAACAAAAAATCCCAGGAGTCACCTTCGACACCTTTCTTTCTCTTACACTCTAACTAATCAGGCAGGGAATTCCAAATATATTCAGAATTCAACCAGTCCTCACCATCTCTGCTGCCACCAACCAGCATGAGCGGTCTTCATCTCGCACCCAGACTGCCACATCAGCCCTCCACTGCGCTCCCTGCTTCCATCCTTGTCCCCCTATAGCTTACTCTCAATACGGTGTAAGTCAGATCATGCTGCTCCTAGGGACGGCTCCTACAGTGGCTCCCCTTTTCACTCAGAGGAGAAGTCAGCATCCCTACTGTGCCCTACAAGGCCCTGCATGGTCAGGCCCTCTCTTCTCTTTGGGACGTCCTCCTAATACCCTCTTTGCTCACTTTACCCCAACCACACTGGCCTCCCTGCTGCGACTCCTGAAAAGTGTCACGCGGAGTCCTGCCTTAGGGCCTTTGCCTTCTGCCAGGGCACTCTTTCCAGATACTTTAGCCAACTCCCCCAATTCCTTTGAGCCTCTTCTCAAACCTCAACTCGAGCGGGCCCTCTGGAGCGCCCTATTTAAAATGGCAGGCTCCTTCTCCTATACTCCAGAGTCTATCTGCCCTGTTCCACTCCCCCCCTGCCCCCACAATACTTATTATTTTAAAATTCTTTGTGTTTATGCATTCTATTTATTCATCGTCTGTCTCCTCTCTTCCATCTCCAACAGAATGTAAACTCCATGAAAGCAGCATCTTGTCTTTTGGTTCATTGCTGTATCTATAAACTCTTATATAAATACCCAATAAACATCTGCTGAATGAATGAAATCCTAGAAACCAATATGTTGCTTTAAGGATGGGGTAAACCAACTGTGTCAACAGTTACTGAAATTAAAGAATATTCTGACAGGTTTAATACATTTAGGCAAGGACCTTGGGGCACAGAAATAATTCAGAGCAGAGAATCACAGAACCATTCCCGATAATCTTAGAGGTATCCTGGCAAATGGTGAAAAATGCCTGAGAGCAAAGATGTTCATAAAAGAAAAGAAAGTAAATGACAGAAATCGGGTGAGTTTGGAGTTATAGGCAAAATTCTAGAACAGATTATTAAAGATGGTTTGTGAACAGGAAGTGGAAGTGGTCCTCACTTGGGGCCGGGAAGACCTCCCAACGTACAAGTTACATGCCTTTGTTCCTATCCTAACTTGGGAACTCATTGACTTGACAGAAGAAATGGTAAATCTGGCTCAAGGTCAAGAGTCCTGGCTTCCAAGGGTAATTTGTAAGCTGTTCAAGATGAGCAAGAGCTCTTAACAAAGGTTCAGAAGAGCAGGGAGCAGCGGGTCCTGAAAGTGGAAGGATACCTCGTACTGTCCTTTGCACACCTGTATGTGCCCACTCTGGGGAGACCTCAGGGAGGGGGAGCCACATTATAAACATTAGGACTGGAAGGATACCAGCAAGAAATCTAACAAGTCTCTTATAGGGGCAGATGATAAAATACAGGAGGTACTATCATGAATGGTGGTAAGGGTCATCTTTGTCATTAGAATCACAGCTAATCATTTTGGGGGAAACTTACTATTTTGCTAAAAACAGTTCTAGAAGACTAACATTTTCAAAACAACCCTATGAGGGAAGATCTATTATTATCCCTTTTTTGCAGATAAGAAAATTAAGGCACAGGGAAGCTGAGTAACTAGTTGTTCAAGGTCATATAACTAATAAGTGGCAAAGTTAGCATTCAAATGTAGGTTCCAGAGCCTGCCCTTGAGGTATAATCTGGATTCACTTTAGAAAACCCCATGAACTCTTGAAGTACTGAGTAATATAGGAATGAGAATCTCAAAGGAAGTCTCGAGAGGTATGCCATCCCAATTCTCAACTTAGCTCTGTCCTGTTGAACATTTTTTTCAAATGACATAAAGAAACTAAAAGATTGCTTATAAAATCAGGAATGACAAGGAATTTGGGGAAGAGCTAAGATATTCTGATGACAGAATGAGGATTCAAAAATATCGCAAAAGACTGAAATGATGAGCTAAAAATAACATTAAATTTAATGGGTAAACGTGAGATCTTGAATTCAAGTTTAAAAAAATCTTCTACAAATACAGCATAGAAAAGATAAGGCTAATTTCAACCTTACCCCCTACAGCTAACCAGTGGCCATGTCCTACAAATTTGCCTCCTAGTGTCTCTTGATTTGTCCCTTTCCTACCACCTCCTTTGCCTCTTCTTCAATTCAGGAACTCGTTGCCTCTCTTCCTCTCCCTCCCCCTCCACACTCTTGCATTTCCAGTCCATCATACACGAAGCTCAGAAAAGTCTCCCTGACGCACAGGTCTGGGCCTGGTACTCCCCATTTATTCTCCCTCAGTGGTTCCCCACTACCTAATTTTACAAGGCCAAGCTCCTTGAGCTTGGTATTCAAGATCCTCCATTTTGGCTCAGCCTTCCTTTCCAAAACCCAAACATTCATCAGTCATTCTTTCTTTTCTTACTCTTCCCACCTCCTTGACAATGCTCTGGTTCCTTCCTTCAGCTCCTTTAGCCCAAATCCTAACTCCTCCTCATTCTTCACAAGGCCTACTTCCTACCCTTCATGGAGGCGCTCCTGTCCTCAAGTCGTTTCTTCTTCCTAGAGCATGTCAACCTATCTTTTATTTTCCATCACAAATTAACACTGTGGACATACCTGTCTTGGTCTCTGATTTACTTTTCTATTCTCTACCAAGAAGGTAAACTCATTAAAGTTATAATCTCTGACTGACTGACTGACTGCTTTATCCTCACACACTCACATTGTCTCGGATCTGGTAAATGCTCAATACATCTCTGACAAATGTGATTGTACGATGTAATGAGAAGCACCGTGTCCAGCACTGGGTTCTACACAAGGAAGGACTTTTGCTGAACTATCAGGCAACCATACTGGTGCTTCCCCTGCATCCCTGCAATGTCCTTTATTCTGTCCGTCTCCCTACATCCCATCTGTCTTTCTAAGGCCAGCACACATCTCACCTGTGAAATCTTTTCTGACTCCAGTCTCCCTTTCTTTTTCTCTCTCATCTTCCATTCCTTCTACTCTTTTGTCCCACATTGTGCAAGTAGCACCTGATTACATACTCTACTTTCCTATCTATCCTTAATTATATATCACATAAAATTTAGTATTATATACTCCTTTCTTCCCTAATTGTTTCAGGTCTTGTCAACCAGACCATAATTTGTTCCTATTATTAGCTTATTACCAGAAGTGCTATGATCTTTTCCATGGCTCGGTGAGATTTCTGAGCTCAGAGAAAAGAGATCGGAGGGAAAACTAAAGGTTTTCAAGTTCATAACAATGGTTTTTCAGTTCTGCGCATGCTGGAAACAGGTGTAGCTGTCCTGTCATGACGGTAGAAAGGCTCTAGATTAAGTATCCAGAGAAGCACATTTTAAGAACTAAAAAGAAATCATACTGTAGATTATTAAGGGATCCTAAGAATTCGAAATTGCTTTCCTTTAAAGATCTTTTAGGATCACAAGATGGACTAACCACGATCTGGCATTTCCTCAAAGACCAATCTTAATGATTCTAGGTTTTCATGGAAATCCAGGCTGACACTTTTTCTCTGTCACTCAATGGCAGGCCTAAGTGGCTCTGTCCCTTGGTCCCTCACATTCCCTCTATTGGTGTGACTACACATGCATCTAGGAGGCTATTTCTGTGGCATGTGCTCTCGTCAGAGCCCTTGACAAACGCAAAACTGGTCCTCCCTTAGAATGGTGGAAAAACAGTGTCTCCAGGCGGGGCACTGGTCAGGCTCACAACCGAAGCTCTACCTGCAGGCCGCTGCACAGGTGTCCTTGTACTCCTGCAGCTTCACGCACACCATGTTGAGGAACTGATCCGAGTACGCGCTCAGGTCGTGCATCAGGTTCATGAGGTCCTGCACTGTCTTCTCCACAATGATTGTGCTCTGGGAGAGGACACAGAAATTCATCAGTTTTTTTTTTTTTTTTTTTAATTCAAGTCATGTGTAGGACAAGGAAGGACAACTGAAAGGATGCTATCATTTAAGACGTGAGTTTCCCGGGAGGATGCGGCACTGACAAATACCGATTAAAAAGAGCCAAATTAAGTATCTTCCATGATGCCGGTCTTCCAAAGGCCTGAGAAAGTACTTTCTGCGGAAAGATGCAGGACAGGGGTTTATGGATTGGTTTCATGGAATTCTTGGTATCCACAAGATATGGGTATGGCTTTTAAGAAAGAAAATGCATATTTGGTTGGAGACTGAGTTATCACCTCCAGGGCTGCACTTTGAGATTAGGGACCTACGAAAGGCAGCTCAAAGAAAATGCCCTCCAGGATCCGTTGTAAAAGTTTCAAATCCATCCACCTCTTCAGAACAACAACTAACATTTGTATTGTGCCTTACAGCTTGTAGAATGTTTTCACATACACAGCATATGTTCTCTTATTTGAGACTCACATTAATCACGGTAATCATTAACACTGGGTTCTTCCAAGTGCAAAGTGCAGGGGTAGGGGGGCGCCTGGGTGGCTCAGTCAGTTAAGCGACTGCCTTCGGCTCAGGTCATGATCCCAGGGTCCTGGGATCGAGCCCCGCATCGGGCTCCCTGCTCAGTGGGGAGTCTGCTTTTCCCTCTGCCCCTCACCCCGCTCATGCTCTTTCTCTCTTGCTCTTTCTCAAATAAATAAAAATCTTTTTTTTTAAGATTTTATTTATTTATTTATTGGAGAGCGAGCGAGAGAGAAACAGCATGAGAGAGGAGAGGGTCAGAGGGAGAAGCAGGCTCCCCGCTGAGCTGGGAGCCCAATGTGGGACTCGATCCCAGGACCCTGGGATCATGACCTGAGCCGAAGGCAGTCGCTTAACCGACTGAGCCACCCAGGCGCCCTCAAATAAATAAAAATCTTAAAAGAAAATTATTAACAAGTGCAAAGTGCAGGGCTAGGCACGCTACACACTTCAGCTCACTTCATCCTCTCAACGTGCCTACCTGTCAGGTGAGTTCCACAATCATCCCCAGTTTAAAGATGAAAAAACAGGCTTAGAAAAGGAAGTAAGCAGAGCCAAGGGCTGCAGGCTTCACTCTTTTAACTACACCACTCTGCCTTGGAGCTAGCCCGGAGTTCCCCTGCTTGTCGTCCTACCATTTTCTCGTTAGATCAGAATATTTCCTATTGTTGCTGAGCACTGGCCAAAGGGACTCAGACATATTTTAGAAACAGAATTAGAGCAATATTCCAGGGAAACAATAATAAGCCCATCTTGCAGCTAGAGACTGATAGCACTGTGCAGCAGATCAGCGTTCTATCTGCAGTGAGGCATATTCATAGTCAACTCTAAATCTTGGATTAAGACAAGACTGGGTGGTTGAAACCATTAGTTCATGCCTCTTTCAAAAGGAAAATTACATTGGAGTAAATATTAATCACAAGCCTAGCACCTTGGAATCCTTTGATCAATAACTGGTTTGTTGAAGATGAATATGTATTTATATATGTATTTATTTTACATAGAATTATAGAAGCTATGGTAGACTTGGCCATAAAAGTAAACATTAAAAAAAATTTTTTTTCCTATGCTGACAGTGACCTGTGGAAAAATATCAAAGGCATTTTATTCTGCTTAAATGCAGACTATGGGGTACAGGGTCTTGGTTAATTTTTTTTTCTTCTAAAAATAAAAAGAATGGATAAAATTGTACAGCTCTTCTCAACACAATGGAGGATCAGCTTGAGTTATGAGTTCCATGTGTGTGTTTATTCAAGATTATTTGGCTGCAGAGGTTTCTTATCTTCTGTCCTGCTCCCCCACTACTCCCCACCCCCCCACGAAGTAAAATAATCAGAAGGTGAAAAGGAAGGAGCAGTTATATTCTGTAAGGCAAACCTCACAGGAAACCAAATTACAGTCTCTATAGAATCCCCACAAGTTCAACTTCCTTTTCTGTATTGATTTTAAGAATAAAGCACTGCAGCTTCACCCTGATCCATAATCCCGCTCCTCTGTATTTGTGTGAGTGACAGGAATTGATTCTGCTTCGCTACATGTCCCCACGCTGCTCAGAAGAATCTAAAATCCTCATCCTGATTCAGAACACAGGATATCCTATAACATGTGGACAGCAATTAATAAAGGAGAGTGGAGTTCAGCCAACCTAACAAAGCCTCCTTAAAATCTAAAACACCATAGGGAAGAGGAGCACGGGGAGACTGCTTGGGTTTACTGAGAGAAAGGGCCTGGTTCTATTTCCAATTAAGCTATTGATAATTAACTCCAGGCAGGTTTGGGTAACCTCTTCCTTTCTTATGACTCAATTTGGGTCTTTTAATAACCAAGGATGCTTTGGTGACTCCTCAACTGGCCTTCATCACTCCGGGATTCAATCAGTGGGCTGGTGCTTTTACACAGAGGGAAAGATGTCGAATTGTTCTCAGGTCATCTCAGGTGTGTCTGGTCTTCCTGATTAGATGGTCAACTTCTCAAAAGCAAGAGTGGCATTCTTCATTTCCCTTTGTCCATCTCCCATCCTTCCCCTCCCCCACCAGTTTATGATTTCTCAGGACCTTCAGGACAATGCAACTATAAGAGAAACAGTACTAATAATGTTAGCACATAAATAAACTTCTCCGAATGTCACACACATCGGGGATGCTAGACACAGGAATCTCTGCATTCTGCAGTCTCGTTGGGTGGGTTCAGGGTGGTCTGTGTTTATTCCTGTGACTGTCGGAGGGGAAGGGGAAAATTCAAGCACATGGGAACATCCCCCGGAGATAAAGGTTTTGGGGTAAATAGGAAGTACCTATAAGGGCATGATTAGAATGTCATAGTTTAATTCTAATGATCGTGCTCAACAAAAAGCTTATGTGATGCTATATGATTACATACAATTTTCCAGCTATTTGGTTGGTTTACCTTGTCATGGCAGCACTCTGGATAATCAATCACTACATTCTCTTCAAGGAAAATGACACTGTAGTTTGCCAAATGATGGGGTATTTTTACAGGGGGAAAAAAGTTCCCATTTTCCAAGAATTTATTACAATTTCCAAATCAGTGGCTCTGACAGATAAGTGTTGAAAATATCAAATTTCTAACAAGGTCAATTCTGTTTTTATTTATTTGATCTCTTTGGCATCTCAAATGATGTACTGACTTGTTATTAATTTTGGGATTTGCCAATGTTGAATATAATGACTTTATAATAAGTAAAACCCTGATTATATTCATGATAATTTCTACCAAACATATCACAAGTGATTCATATTTGTTTAGAAACAACTCAATTCTCATTTCTTGCAACTTATTACCAGGTAATAAAGTCTGGGCATGACACGAAAAATGAGAAAAGGAAAAAAAAATCCCAAGATAGCGGATGCAATAAAAAAGCCATTGCTATGAAAAATAACTAAAGTTTCTTATAGAGATGCACCAGCGGGCTAAAATAGGAAGAGGGTGTACAAGGACCAGCTCTTTGGTTCTGTGCTTTAAAAAAAAATTTAATGAATGAATGAAGATGATTGGACCTTTAAGACCTTGTCCATTGTTTGCCAAAATGGGGCTCTGCAGCATGATACTAATAGTAATATTATAGAAAATGGACTCTAAGTTCAAGTAATTTGGAAAATGCTGAGTTAAAGAAAACTGAAGTGGTTTCTTCACTGGAGGACTTTGGAAACTTTTACTATGCTAATGTCATTGTGAATCTGAAAGAGGTAAATGTGGTATTCAATCTTCCCTTAATTATTTAAGAAAACATTTTTCATAGCAAAGCACAGATCTTTTCACATCTTCTGGAACAGTGCTTCCAGAACACAGTTTGGGAATGACTCGCCAGTTCTCTGGTTGTACTGATGAGGACCCTATGCCTAGCGACATGCTTGAGGACTCACAGGGAGTCCAGCTAGGAACAGGGTGAGAATCTGAGCCTCTTCCTCCTCAGTCCCTTTCCTACATGCCCAGCCTTTTAAGTTCTGGCCCCTGCCCCACCTCTCTAACCTTCTCTCCAGCTCCACTGAGCATGCTAACCCTGTGCTCCAACCACAAGAAACTATTAGTTATTCCTTGACTGCATCAAGCTACTTACTGCCTCTGTGTCTTTGAGCTTCCTAATCTCTGGGCCTGGAATGCCCTTCCTAGCACATGTCTGCCGTCCTTGAAAATCAGCCCAAAGGCTACCTGCTCTGATTTAGATGCCCCTCCTCAGTGCTACCAGAACACCCTAGGTACAATTTAGCCCAAGCCCTCAATGGAGTATGGCACCCACTGGTTTGCTTGACTGTCTCTTCCGCTAGACTATCTATTCCTTTGATCAGTGACTATCCTTTCATATTTCTACTCCTTAGTAGCGAAGTGTCTGGCATATTGTAGGTGTTCACGAAATGTTTATTAATGAAAATGCACAGCACATTCAGAACGGTGAAAAGACAGATTTAGAGTAGAATTATGATGCAAAATAGTGAGCCAAAAGCCTGACCTGTGAGGTGGAATCAGACCACAGCCTCTTTATTACTATATTCCTGTATCTTAATTCCCACTGTTCTAATAACTGAATATTTATTGTGACTACAGATTTTAGATTTCTCTACAAAAATATTTTGAATTTCACCTGACTGTATGATTTTCTGTAATGGCAGCCCATTATACATACAACCAAATGTGCTAATTTTAAGAAATATAAATAAATTCACAATTCAGGAAAAACAAAACCAAAAACCTTGAGTTTGGAGAATGCAGTCTCTGTATGTGTGCCGTTTTAGTCCCTGGAGCAGGGATGGTTCAGAGATGCTACAAAGACCCCAAGGTTCTTGAAAACTGCTTTAGGAAGCACTTGAGAGAAAACAGTAAATTCAGATACACCCCCACACTACCACACACACACCAGCAATTGTGGAGGGAGGGGACTTCACAAATGTTAGATGAGGACAATAATGTTTCTGTTT